CACGGCCGCTCTGCCTCCGTCCATGCCTTCGCAGAAGGTGGCCTGGCTGTTCCAGCTGCCGGCACGGTTGATTGACGTGGATGCTGACGAGCCTCTCGGCTTTTGCTGGTTTACAGGAGTTTTGCCGGCGTCAGGGTTAGCGAACACGTACGAGGTACCTCGTGGTTCGTACACAGAAGAGCCGGGGGTGATCACACCTCCTCACATAAATGAGGGAGTGCAGGCAGCGCGGATAAATCAGTTCTCTCCCCGACACTAACGCAGAAACCCCCCGTTTAGGCTCTGCTCCGCATTGCAGCCTGGGTGCATTGTGGGTGTTGAGGGATACCCCAGTCACATCAGTGTCTCTTTCCTTTTGCTTCCCTTCCTGACCAGCTCTCCGAGCCCAGACCACCTCCACGCTCAGCCCCAGCCCTCCGCTCTTTACCCTTGGCGCGGTCACTCCCTCCTGTGCAAGACAGAACGAAACACGGCGAGTTCTCCCCGAATTGGGCTGGATTCCCTCTGCCTGCAGCGTGCAACCCCGCGAAAGCCGTGTACATCTTAGGTTAGCAAGCACAGCCATTCAAACTACTCATATTTACAGGATCAGTCTTAAATATTAAGCTCTCAAGTGCAGGAACTGTATCTCTATTTTGATTGTATAGAGCTGAGCATACAGGTGGAGTATAAATATGTTACTCTTTATTTCCCAGTTGTAAAAAGGAATCGTTTGTTCTTCTGTGAGAGGGGTATTGGTTAGCTTACTTGTGCTTGTACCAGACAGTAATGCTTGAAGAGAATCTCCTGGTTTGCAATCAGTCCTTGGGCCCCGAGCTTTCAAGTCCTTCCAAACGTGGCACGTTCAGTGGGGTTACACACGCGGCCCAGGGGACAAGAGCCTTGCCTGGACGTAGGACGTGGGATTTGAACGCTACCGGGGAGAAGCTGAATTTGCTGAAGTCAATGCAGCAAAATATTCCGTTTCCTGCCTTCCCTCCCTCAGCTTTCGCGGCCATTCGCTCTCACTTGCTCTCTTCCCACTCCCCAGCAGATCACAGATCGAATGGCTAGCCCAATTTACAAGATTCCCCAGAGCAACTGCATTAGGGCTGACCTGCCCCTCGTCTACCGCACCCCGAAGCGTGGAACATCTGGCCGGGTTTGAAGGCAGCAGCGCCGTTGGATTGCCAACATGTAACATTTACATTTCATTTAGCAGATTGTGAAGCTTTGCAGTTCATCGTTTTCAGTTTAGAGCATTTATTTTTGGCTGAAAGTACAGAACTTGTAACTTGGTGCCTATATATTTATAGATTGGCAGATAAAAGCAGGGCTGTTTCAGGGAACTCTGTTTTTATTGGCAGGAAGCATGTTGGGATTACAGCAGAGTAACACCTTAAGTTAGTCACAGTCAAACAAGTCTCTGAGTCTTGAATTTTACAGAGGGGGGACTATAACAAGCTGTTTAATTTCCCTTTTTTAAATTAAACATTCCACATTCAATAAAAGCAGTAACTGTGGTTGCTGCCTTGTGAATGCAAATGGCTTTACCGGCCGGGGGACGTAGCTGTGCGCTCGTCGCACGTGCTGTGTCGTAGCCCTGTGTTACCCATCGGTAAATCAAGGCAGAGAGAAATTCCAATGATTTATCATCTCGTGAGGTATCTTTTTTTTACAGGAATTGGGTCAGAACCCAGGAGCCCTGCATCTCTGCTTGAATGCCGGGTCTTTGAGGTGAAGCTGAGAAGATTGTGCTTATGCACAAGTGTTTCGGGAAGTCAAGGGCAGCTGTTTTATCCTGATTCCCCCCCTCAGGCCAGTAGCAACGTGGTAGGAGTTACAACACAGATGCTGCAGGGCAAGGAGCTGCTGAGTGAAGGAGTGACGGGTTTGTTAGACATAAGGGGACGGTATTTTAAGACAGACCTGGGCCTGAAGGAGAGGAAACCAAGTTTGCTAACTACAACTTCGATGCACAGCTCCGTGAAGAACTTCCAGGGGCCGTAGAATAGGTCCATAAACAGCTGCTCCTGCAAATCTGCTGAGCGTATAGAGTGCTGGAGGGCAAGATGCTCCACAGAGGATCACGGAGCGCGTGGGCAACTGCTGCTGGCTTGGTAGAAGATAAGAGCAAGAGATAGGCGGTGGCTTGGATTCTCCAGCACCCACTCCCCAAATTACTAGCTGTATTTTTTTTTAAAAAAAAAAAAAGGGTGCAAAATGGTTTGCTTTGGGGCTCTGACCTTCATCTCCCTGCCTCCCTCCTCCACTAAACCCCCTGATATGGGCCCTGGAAGCCCTAGAAGCAGAAACCACTGGCAGAGGCTCGACTGGCTGCGAGACCACTGCGAATCCAGCAGCTTATTTTAGGTTTTTTAAGCGTGTTCTGGAAACAGATGGGGAATAGTTTCCAGTATTGACCAAATGGCTGTTTATTTCTCTGCAGAGCACCCGCATCCAGTTCTAAAACTACCTACTTGAAGCACCGTGTGGTGTCCCAGCAGCATCTGGCTGCCCCGCTACCCCTGCCTGCTCCCTCGGGAGCTTGTCTAATTGAATATGCTGCATAATATGCCGCTAATTTGGCAGCTGCCAAAACGAATTATCCTTTTTTTTTTTTGAACAGTACCGCGGTGGGGGCGAGGAGAGTTGCCACTCGCTGTGATTGCACCAACTGCCCGTGTTTCTCTTTGCATCCCCGACTCAAGGGAGACCCGGTGAAGGGCTTGAAGGGGACCCATCGGGTCTTTGCCTGGTCTCACCCCATGGAGCTTCATCACCTCCAGCCCTGAAAACTGCTTGGGGTCCCCCGTCCCCTTGGCGGTTGTTGCTTCCATCGCCAGTTTGGAGTCACGTACCTTCTCCCCACGGAGGGTGGGGCTGGAGCTCAAGCAAGCGCCCCTCGGAACAGCGTCAGCCTGCAGCCCCGGCGGTGCTCGGCACCGCAGACCATGCTCAAGCTCTGCGCTACGTCTTGCTCCTTGGCCATACCCTTTCAGTAACCCTAACGAAATATTTCAAGCTTCTGAGATTTTTTTTTTTTTTTTGGTTCTGCCTCGTGTGAGGCGGGGAGAGAGAGGAACCCTTGTAGCGGAGGCTGAATTTCATTTTCCTGCGGGGAGGAGGTGGCTCCTGCATTTTTATCATTCATGCTTTTCCCTGCTCATACCTCAGAGCAAGTAGAAGCATGAAGGTGTAAATCAACATCCATCACAGAGGCATGAAGGCTCCACAGTGAAAAAATCCCCCACGCTGAGGGTCCTTCCAGAGAAGAGATCTTCTCTTGAGACCCACATCTCCAGTCTCTGGTGCTTTCCTGGCTGGCAACAGCATAGCTGCCCACAGCAGCGAGCCCCTGCTCGGAGCAGAGATGGAGCAGCATTGTAAATCCTCCAGAAGAAGGAGGAGGGTTTCCCACATGTTGGAGACTTCGTGGGGTTCAGAACGAGCCAGGAGTGCTATTCCTTGCGTTGATCCCCCCCTTGGGCTTCCATTAGTCAACTGTGGGGACTACAAGGAACCATGTTGCTCCCCTCCTCGTAGCTCACTTGACATTTACTTGACTCAGGAGCGCTGCACTCCACCTTCCTCCGAGGCAGGGCATGAGGCAGCACTCCCCACCCCGAGGGCTCGCGCTCGGTGCGATTGTCGCCGCTGACGGGGTGTCAGACCATCCGAAACGCAGCTCCTGCGTGGCTGCACGCCGTGGGGAGCCATGGTGTCTTCCAGGCTTTCATAACGGAGACCTACCAACGAGCCAGCAGTCCTGGCTGGGGGAGGGGA